TTGCTTGTGACTTTCTACTTCCATGTCTTTTTATATGAATTTATGACAAATACGTATAAGCTTAAATTACTATGGACTTCTAAAGTAGAATTAGTTTTCTTTGCCCTTAGACAAAAACTGTTGTGTGATTTCTTTTTAACTCCTCATGTTTCATTGTTCCTCACAGAGCTAGCTAAGCATTGGGTTCGAAGGTAAGACATGGTCCCTTCTCTTAACAGCCCTTAGAAGTCAGGGCAGCTGTGTTTGGAGTGCCATGTTGAAGGGGTAACCCATTTCCAGAGGGACATTCAGAAGATAGATTGACATACAGACTGTAGTAATGCTCAACTGCCCCATCAGCTTCTGAAACACACAGCAAAATAAGGAAGACTTGGAATCTAAGGTCATACATGTGTATTATAAAATACCTTCCAGCCTAAATATGGAAGCCAATGTGACTAAAGAATAGATTACTATGGATTACTTGTGACACGCATGACAATCACATCCATAAGGTTAAAAATCACTTGCCTAGTGGGTGTATTAAGATAAGGAAGGAGATTATCAAACGGTGCTGCTTTCATTTCCAGAGAGCATTAGGGGTTACAGAGGCAGAGGGGAAGCACTTTACCAAGTCTTGAGGGTGTGGTTGGCACATAGATGCAGGGAAGTATGTTTCATCTATCAATAAGATAAGCAGTACCAGGGAACTAACAGCCTCCTATTCCATGTTGAAGTGTGGACAACTTGGATCAACAATTTGAAATCTCTGAAGGGTACTAACTTCTGGCAGGGTAGTGTTGGGGTGTAGAGCAGGAGGCAAGCGTGTCAGTCAGACACGTGGTTCAGATGGGTGAGAGGTGATGGGGCCCGAGCAGTGGAATAAGGAATAAGTAACAAGCAGGGGGTTTGTTTGCAAAATGTGATGTTCATGCCTCTAGTGATAGCAGTTGAAATACAGCTAGTTTTGAGTGTATGCATGAGCGGGGGTGAGACAGGTAGGTCTGAGACTGGTTACATTGGATGTACCTAGCTTTCAGCTGTATTGCAGTGATCACAAGTAAGTACAAATAAACTGGCTACTAGACTGAAGTGAGGAATAAAGAGAAGCTGTTATCTTGATGATGTGATGGTTTCATGAATATAAAAGTATTTGGAAATTGATCATGGTATATACAGATTATTGAGCTTCAATAAAACTAAAGCTGTTACCAAGTAATTACCAACTTTATTGAGATATAAATCATATCCTATATCGTCTACCACTTAATGTATACAGTGCAATGATGTTTAATGTTAGTAGATATGTACAGTGTTCATACAGCTTTGGAACATTTTCATACAAATGGAATCATATGATATGCGGTCTTCTGTGCCTACCTTTTTTCACCTAGTATAATGTCTATGTTGTTGTATGTGTAAGTATCTCTTTTTTAAGGATGAATAATATTCCATTCTATAAAGATGTAACGTTTTGTCTAAATTCATCAGTTGATGGCATTTGGGGTATTATGAGTGATCTTAATTCTTTTCCACCATGTTCAGGAAAATGACAATCTCTGTATTTATCATGTGGATCTTTCTATGTTATTTTGACATTTGGGTAAACATTTTCAAAACATCGCTGAACTTTGGGGGATTTGAAGTCCTAAATGCAAAAAAGGGGGGAGTCTACCAAGACATTTCTGTTGAGGCTTTAATTTGCTTTGACTGCCTCCTTTCTCCTTCAGGTGGAATTTAAACTTACCTGTGCACATGGAAATGCTTCCCTTCTAGCTCGAGTAGAGTGAATTCATTTAGATATGGATTTTGGTTTGTGAAAGGTTTGTGGAAGTGTTAGAAACATGTAATGGAAGGTTTTTTCTTTTTCTTTTTTTCGCCTCTAAATTCGGTTTTCGATGAAATATTTGTGGCTGACATAGATAGAAGAGTTAGATCTGGATAGGTGTCCTGGGAACTGAGAGGAAATAGTTTATGTGACTGATATCGGGGACATGGGCATACATTCCTATCAATGCAGGATGAGACAGAATGTCAGAACTAATCAAGATAGGTTGTATTTACTCCTCGAGGCTTCAGTGCATGGGAGGGCATTGTACAACTTGCAATGAAAGCAGATTCAGAATAGACTGAAGGAAACTGGCTAAGTTGTTTGGGGGTTGGAAATGCTTTTGAGATTTGGGAATCTTAGTAGGTTATTAACAAGAGCCCACCCCCCCATTCTTTCAGTTGTGATTACACATAAAACTTGTGCATAAAACTTTGAGTAGGCAACAAAGATCCACTGAAAGTCACCTATAGTGTGACTACACCCCCTCCCCCACCATGTATTGAACTAGGTACAAGGTTGGTATCGAACCTCTTCCTTTGAAGGAGTGAAGTTTTGTTTTAAAGTCAGGTTTATTGGAGTAGAATTTACAAACAATGAAGTTTATTGTTTTTACTGTACAATGATTTTTAGTTACCTTTGTAGAAGCTTTGTTTACAGTGTCATCAATGACCAGTATTACTTATTTATTCTTAGGAATAGAATGTTTAACTGTACAAACAATTTTGTTTCAGATGTGTTAAATCTTACACAAAATATGCAGTGAAAAAAAATTTTGGTGGTACTGGGGTTTGAACTTGGGGCCTTAGCACTTGCTAATCAGGTGCTCTCTGCTTAAGCCATGTCTGCAGTCCTCTCCATGCACCTGTGTAATCTAGATGCTGGGGATAACTCAGTGAACAAAAATCTCCCATTCTTCTGGAGTAGACATACTAGTGTCTGAGACAGATGAATAAAGTTTTATGTCATGTCATTTAAATACTTAGAAAGAAAACTGTGAAAATTAAGCTTTTTGATGGTAGCTACATTAGGCGCAGTAATGTGCTTCTCCTAGTATACTCCACTCAGAGAAAATTCACCAAATCAAAACTTAATGATAAAAGGGTATTCCATTAACATGTAGAAATCAACCTTTTTTAAAAGAAGAAAATGTGTTCTCAGAGAAATCCTGTAGCAGATTTCAAACTGGAACCAGTAGACAAAGTATAAAAGATACCACATAGGTAAAGGTTCCTTTAGAAGAAACTGTCTAAAGTTTCTAGCAACTTGCCATAAAAATTTAGCATATTTTTTTCTTTTCTTTTTTGTATTTCTGGCAATTAAACCCAAGGCTTTGGTCTCATTAGGCAGGCAATCTACCACTTGAGCCATGCCCTCAGTCCTCCCCTTCCCCCTTCTAATTTGCTTTTGAGATAGGGTTTCTCTAACTTTGCCCAGGGTGTCCTCAAGCTCTCTCAAACCTCTTGCTTCTGCTTCCCAAGTACCTGGGGTTACAGGCATGTACACCATGCCAGGCTTAGCATGTTTCTTTCTTTCCTTTTTTTCTGGTGGTACTGGGGTTTGAACTCAGGTTCTCATGCATGTGCTGTACTGCTTGAGCCACTTCATCAGCTCTGTTGTGTTTTTTATTTTCAAAATAGGTTCTCATGAACTGTTTGCCCAGGCTGACTTCGAACCATAATCTTGATCTCTGCCTTCTAAATAGCTAGGATTGCAGGTGTGAGCCACCGGAGCCTGCCTTTAGCCAGGCTTTTAGTTTCTTAATTTGGTTTTTTTTTTTTTTTGAGGGACTGGGATTTGAACTCAGGGCTTCATGTTTGCAAAGCAGGCACTCTGCTGTTTGAGCCATACCTCCAGTCCTAGTTTCTTAAAAGTTTGATGTATCCTGGTGCCAGAGAACATTTTCAAGGGACTGCCCTTCACTATTGTAATTAAACTAATGAGTAAGTGGTTCCCTGTAAATTTATAGGAACTTACTTTACTTTTAAAAAAATGTCAGTTTTTAGAAGGTAAGGGCACTGAATTTGTTTTGTATTGGTGAGACACGCACCTACAGTTCGTATTATAATACATTTATAGTTATTTTAATTGTCTCTATTACAGTAACATACACAGTGTAATAATTATCATTACAGGAAGGAAGGTGAAAATTGCTTCAAACTGACATTTTCCAGCCTCGTGTAGATTTAGAAACGTATCCTTCATTTTACACCTCTGTCTACACGCTTATAGTCACATGTCTTAGTCTTTAATTCACGACTCCAGGTAGAATATCAAATGTGTTTTCTTCATTTTGCCCATCTGCCCAAAGACGATTCTGTTCTGTTCCACTTGATAGAGCTGTAAAAGGAAGTTCTTGGGACAGGAACATCTTACAGATAAAACTTGCATTTCTTAACTTGGGCCCTTGTCTTGTGACTGTGTACAAGGAGGAAGTAAGATGGCATGTCCAAGTGTGCATGAGGAGTAGGCACTCCTTTTTCCTTCAGCCTCAAAAGATGGGCTGCTGTGGCTTTGAACACTTTGCTGAGCCACTGTTAATTCTTTTTTCCTTTTTTGAAGGTAATGCCGTTTTTATAGTGTTACAGGAAATTTTAGGTTACTTCTTGAAAACAAAGTAAAAAAAATTCAAACTTCACAAAGTAACAAAGCAGGAAATAATAATTTTGTAATAAAAAATGCTGGGCCATCCTTTGTTTGGACAGAGGGGAAAGTCAGTTTAGTAACTCACATAACAGCAGAGAATCCAGATGTTTCTTCTTGGTTAGTCACAGAAAATTAGATAAAAGTCAGGAAGATGGATGGCACCATTATAATCCCAGCATATGGGAGGCTAAGGCAGAGTATCTCAAGTTCAAGGCTATAGGTTGAAACCCTGTCTCAAAAAAAAAAAACCCAAGGGCTGGAGATGTAGCTCAGTGATAAGAATGCTTGCCTAGCATGCACAGGCTTTGGGTTCCATCCTCAGCACTGAAGGAAAAAAAAAAAAAGCTGAAGCAGGTATGGGCTGGTGAGAAGAGAGAAGTCCCTCAAATGTGGTGTCTTTCCTTAGTCTGTAATGCAAAGCCCAGTTTACTTTTTGTTTCTTTTTTTTTTTTTTAAATCACAGTTACCTAGTGATTTTAAAACATATTCCTGCCCTGGCTAATGACGGGAACTCAAAATGTACAATTTTCTCTCCCCCTCCTGCTAGGTGCTGGATAGTTTACTAGTCCAGTATGGAGTGGTGGAGAGCTGTGAGCAAGGTACATGTATTCTGAATTGCTTTCTAATTCGTAAAAGGAAGGAAGGAAGCAGAAAGAAAACTAACTTTCATTCTCTTTGTTTTTCTCTTCCTCCAGTGAACACTGACTCCGAAACTGCAGTGGTAAATGTAACCTATTCCAGTAAGGATCAAGCTAGACAGTAAGCAGTTTGAAACTTTTTATCTATATGTTATAACTAGGGCTAAGTACAGCAATTTGTATTTTGTGGCTTTCAAATTTGAGAAGGGCTAGTGGGTAAAAACTGTGTTTCATAAACTCTGACCCTCCAGATATACCTTTCTTTTTATGTGTGAATGTCTAGTAAGAATTTGCATTGGTTAAAGTTTATTACATCTTCAATGTATCTCTAATACCACTAATAGAATGATACAGTACAAAGCTGAGCTGCACCCTATGTGCCAAAAGTCATGGGCATGGATATTGTTTTCAAATTACATAGATTTCTTTTTTCCTTCCTCATGACATGTTCTTACTATTTTATCTGAAGCTGGTAAGTTGATCATGTGTTGTTTTCTTGCTATCTGAATTCTCTAATGATTACTACTGACAGAAGCAGGCAGACGTTAAACCAATGTGCTTTTAGATTTGTGTAAAAAGTATATTCCAGTGCAGTTAACAAAACTTTGCAGGTCAATCTCTGATAATTTTGTAGGCTACGTACAATCTAATGAGTTGACAGAGTGCTAGAGAGAGAAAAGGAGGGTCCCACAAATCCTGCCTTTGCCAGCTCTGCCCAGAGCATGAACACTGAGGAATGGCATCAACGTACCCAGCAGGACAGCACTGAGTGCCAGCTGACTATGGAAGTCCTAACCACTTCCAGAGACAGGAGGAACAGACTGTCCTTTCTGTGGGAAAAGTGAAAGAAGGGACCCTACTGGCTGACCCTGAGCCCGAAAGGGGAAAGGTGAAGAGAGCCTCAAGAATGGGACTTGAGCTGGGTTACCAAAGGCAGTCCTCACATGGAAGGACTCTGAAAGGAAAGCTAGTCCTGGGAAGGAGAGGGAAATTTGTAAGACAGAAATGAAACTTTATTTTAAAATTGATAATATTCACATGGCTCAAAATTTAAACAACCCAAAGAAATACACAGTGCAAATTTTCTCAGTATTGTTCACCCAGCTAACTTACCCTCTTGTCAAGATGACCATGTGGAGGAATGCATGATTGGATTTTTCTTCCTTGGTACATTTGAGTGTTTGTACCTGTATTTTTGTAGTTGCCTGGATTGTGATTGTGTGGGTGTGGAATGACTTTGTTTAGTTAATTCCAGATTGGACGATTAGACTGTTCACAGTCATGAGCAGTGCCGTGGGGAACCCCTTTTGCATGTGTCACTTGGGTGTGTATGTGTGTGTGTCTCTATTGGATAAATTCCTAGAAGGAGAATTGCAGTTTTTACCTTGTTATCCTTTGGAGAGCTCAGAGTACTGTAAATTTCCACCGATCTTTCTCCATACTCTGCCCAATGTACAGCTTTATCAATTGCCAGTCTAGTAGATAAAAAGTGGTATCCCATTAACTTTCATTTCTCTCATAAGTGACCCTGAAGGCTTCTAATATGTTTAAGTTTTTATTTTTCTTTCTATTTGTATCCTTCCTTCATTAATTTTTTTCACAGTTCATATGCGGTCTAAGACATTAGGGAAATTGTGGTTTGCTTAATTGATATTTAACAAATTTTGTTCTATATCACATAAGAAGACCAAGAAAATCACCCTTCGGACCCTCAGCAGATTGGGAGGTAAAAAAGTGTGAGGGTAGTGAAAATGCAGAAGCTCCATTTGTCTCACATATTTTATTCTTTACAGAAAAGATCTAAATTGAATACTTGGTAGAGTCAAGTCCTTACTGGATGGAAAATATGGTATAATACATGGTTAAACCCAAGGATATTTAGAGATTGTCAGAGACTTGTCCTACTTGTTTTATTGAAAACTTACATGAGCCGGGTATGACGGCTCATGCCTATAGTCCCAGCTACTTGGGAGGTGGGGATCAGGAGGAACTGGGTTTGAGGTCAGCCTACAGAAACAGTAAGATCCCATCTCAGTCAACAAGACAGATATGGTGACATGTGCCTGTGATGTCAGCTATGCTGTGAGGCATAGGTACGAGGATCCTGAGGCTGGTCCCAAGCAAGAATACAAGTCTCTATCCAAAAAAATAACTTGTCGGGAAAAAATGGGCTAGAGGTTCAATTGGTAGAGCACTTGCTTAGCAAGTTCAAATCCTAGTGCTACAGTAATGAGGAAGAAAACTTATATGAGGTTAGCAAGAAAAACATGGAAATACAACCTTACATACCTTTGAAGAAGCATGAGAACAACTTCACCACAGAGTAAATAACTTTGAGACTGGCAGGGCTTAGTGGTAGCAAAGGAGGAGGGGAAGTCTGTTGGGTAGGAACTGTGTGATTAGGTAAGTAAGTAACTTCAGTTAGGGAAGTCATGCTAACTCTTACTCTAATATTCAGTCACTTAGCTCCAGGCTGTCAGTGATAAAGGCAAAGCCTTTGTCCTCAATCATGCGCCTCCCACTGATGAAATCAGAGAATTTGGAGAGGGAACACCTAACATTTAGTACCTGCCTGAGTCAAGTAGCCTTTTTTGTGTGTGTGACACTGGGGTTTGGACTCGGGGCTTCATGCTTACTAGGCATGCACTCTACTACTTGAGCCACTCTGCCAGTCCCTGCATTGAAGTTCTTAGTTGAACTCTTTCTTGTTTGCATTTGCTGCTTGGAAGTCTTTGTGACTGGGATGTGCTTGTGAAATGTGAGTAGAAACTTAAGAGTTTAGAGGCTTCATTTCAGAGTCCAGTCGCCTGGACTGGACTTGTTACCAGTTTTCTGTGATTTTGGTCAAGTTAATGTGTTATGCTTCACTTCCATCTCTGAAATGGGAATCATTAAAGTCTTTAGCCCATGGGGCCGTGGAGGAGCTAAGGTGATACCTCTAAGACACTTATCACAAGGGCTGGGGATGGAGCTCAGTGATGCAGCACTTGCCTAGCATGCTGGAGCTCCGAGTTCCAGCCCAAGACTACTTAAAATGCCTGGACGGGGGTACGAGCTCCAAAGGTTGCAGCTATTATGTATTTTCTGAGCATGTCTCAGCGCTGCTGGTGGTACTCTGTTGTTTAGTACACTGCACTTAAGTGATAGCTGACCACTGATGGTGAGGAGCGAGGCATCCAGGTGAAGTGTTTGAAGCCACCACCTCTTGCTACGTAAGGGGCGTTGCTTGCCACTCTTAAGAGGATCCCTCAAACATGCTGTCTCTAAAACAGAATTTTCATGGTAATTCCTGCCACCTTGTGGCTAAGAAAAGCAAAGCTTCATAGCTCACTACTCATTGAAAATACAGAACTTTTGTTTTAAGCTTGTCTTGAATTACTAAATTATTAAGACAATGAAATTAATAAAAACAGTAAACACTTAAATATCATTACAAAGTAAAGTTTGTGTTTGGTGGATGTACTCAGATCAAGAGAGCCTGAGGCTCTGGGTTGCCTACTTCCTTCGCTGTCACAGAGATGCTGAGATAAAGTAGTCAAAGGACTAGACTGGGATGTGGCTTAGGTGGGTAGAGCACTTGCCTAGCAAGTATGAGTTCAAATCCCCAGTACTGGGAAAGATGAAGGTGAGGGGACTGATAGTGCTCTTTGGAGAATTTGTCATGTGTGATAAAGAAACAGCCCTGTAGAACGTGTAGACATGTAGTTCTTATGCTTTCTTTCCTTTATGGTTCTTACTTGTAAAGTTTATTTTTGTTAGAAGAGGTATGCTTGTGCTTTGAAGCTGTTCTTGTGGTACTTTTACATCAGTGTGAGGATCTGTGTTAGGCAAACGTAGTTATGGTTAGAAGTGTTCAAAGCAACTTGGCTCATGGCTATAGGGAGGAAGTTCTCATTTAGACTTTAAAATTTGTATAGGTAGATTTATTATGGAACAAGAAATAGAATCATAGCATTTGGGAGGCCGAGACAGGAGGATTGCAAGTTCCTGTCTCACCTCGGCTACTAGCAAGACATTTACTCAAAAAATAAACAAAATGACAGAAAAAAGGGAGGGAGGACGTTCTTTCTGTTTAGAGATAGCCACTCTTACATTTGCCATTTGGATTCATTGACTTTGTCCCATGCACCATAACTTTGGAAATTGGATCATTATGCAAACTTTTGTGTTTTTCACAAAGTGTATTTGTACTTTGTACCCACTTCATGGTTTGTATCCACTATGTAGTATTTCATCCTTGTCATAGTTCATTCATCCAGCTCTCTGCTGTGCATCTAAGGTGTGTGTAGCTGTTTTGGTTTTGTTTTTTTTGGTACTGAGGATCAAACTCGGGGCTTGAACATCTTAAGCATGCACTCTACTCCTAAGCTACATCTCTAACACTCAGTAGCTTTGCTTTTGGGGTTTTTTTGTAGATGTGGTATGGGGTTTTTGCCTTTGTTGTTGTTTTGCTTTTTAATGTTTTTTTTTTTGCCTGGTGGTTTGAACTCGGGGGTCTTATGCTTGTTAGGCAGATTCTCTACCACTTGAGCCATTTTGTTTTGCTTTTAGAGTCAGTTTAGTCATGAAGCCCTTTGTAGGTAAATAACTGGGCTGTGTCCATAGTTATTTTCTTTAGCTGCATCCTTGCAATAGTATTACAGCATTTTTTATAATTAGTGCTGAGTTTTGTATATCAACCTCTATTCTTTGTCATGGTCTGTTTCCTGTAGCTATCTCTAAGTAATCCACACTGAGTAATTTACAAAGGATAAAGATTTACTTGGCCACAGTTCCGAAGGCTGGGAAGTTCCAGATTTGCTGAGGGCCTTTCTGCTAGTGGGGACTCTGGTAGAGTCCTGCGGCTGCATAGAACTTAACATGTCAAGCTCAAGTCTCTACTCCCAGGACTGGAGACGTGAGTCCAGTGGTGGAGCACCTGCTCTGCAAGCGTAAAGCACAGTTCCATTGGACTAGGGCCCTACCTTTGTGGCCTCATTTAACCTTAATTATCTCCCAGAGGTCCCATCTCCAAATTCCACAGATTGTTTCTACCCTCTTAATACCTCACAGCGGGGATTAAATTTCAACAGGAATTTTATTGGGGACATTCAAACTTTGGAGTGGCACAAGGAGAGAACT